TCAAGTTGAACAACGGCTTTTTTCTTTAGGTCTCAGAGTATCTGGACGTAACTTTTGTGGAGGACCATAATAAATTTTAGGGATTTGATCTTTGGGTTCTAGAGTTAAGAAGAGAGTTCCCTTTACTAAATAGGATATTCTGCTACTCCCAGAATGTCCTGGTCATCATCTGACCTAGCCACCTTTCAACCTCCTTCCTTTCAAGAAGCAGTCAAGAAGTCTAGTCTCTGTAATTCAAGTGTCCAATAGAGGACAAGGGGGGAGTCCTGGCTGGCGACTCACGACATCTAAGATCTCATCTGCCATTGTGCAACTCTGTTACTGAAGTAAGTCATCTCACACCTTTGGGTATCAGTTCCTTTATTTCGAATCAATTTTTATTAGATGATACATTAGATGGCAATTATGGGACTGTCTGCCCATATAAAATAGTTTGTATACAGTTAAAAACATGAACAATAACAAAGAATGCAGGAAAGAAAGTAAATTTCTCTTTCCTCACTATCCCTGTATTAGTTTGCTAGGGCTACCATCACAAAATACCACAGACTGGGTGGCTTAAACAACAGAAATGTATTTTCTCACAGTTGTGAAAGCTAGAAGTCAAAGATCAAGGTGTCAGCAGGTTTGATTTCTTCTGAAGCCTCTCTCCTTGGCTTGCAAGCGGCCACCTTTTTGTGTTCACATGGTTGTGTCTCTATGTGTGCATGAGTTTGCTATCTCACTCTGTCCAAAATGGACATTAGTCATATTGGATGAGAGCCCACCCTTATGACACCATTTTAATTTAATTACCTCTTTAAAGGCCCTATCTCCAAATACAGTGACATTATGAGTCACCAGGGGTTAGGGCTCCAATATTAGAATTTAGGGGAGGGGAACACAGGTTAACCCATAATACATGTCATCAGTTTCTCAAAATTGTGCCAGATTTCAGTTTGCTTTATATTTGGACCATGAGTTCTTTATAAAGCTCTTTGGTTTGTTTCTTTGTTTGTAGAAATTCTTAATTATCTTTGGCTTGTTTTTGAGAAAAGTGACATGCCTTTATCATATCTCTAAGGTCCTCTTGGTCCATAATCACATTACCATTGTAAAAGAATCCACTTTTTTCTTGAAAAATCATCTTAGAGCCTTAAAGGCTCTAAGGGCTCTTGTTTGTTTTTCCTAATTTGTCCTGATTGCTTTCTTGACTTGCTGCATCACTGTCAACCTGGGATATATTCTAAGTTCCTTGGTTTGTTCCCTTTTTTAAATTGTGTGTACTTCTTTCTTGGATTATTATTTTGTTTTGAAGTATATCTGTGGCAGCCACAGAGACTTGCTGCAAGACTGCCTTTCAAGAAAGGACTCACTGCCCAGGTGCAAGGAGGATGGTTAACTGAGGGCTTCACAGTGTTAACTCCTTCAGGGTCTGAGGTTATCAGCCTCTAGCCAATGACTGAACAAGGTGGTTGAACTCAGTCTTAGCCACTTCTGCCCAACTCAGGAGTCGTTTAAAGGGAAATATTTGCTCTGCAGCTACCAAAGGGACAGGCAGAGGCTGTCAGGTCTGTGTCATTGCCTAATAGCTACCTCTACCAATCGTGCGTCTTCCCCTTTTCCATTCACAGATGTTACTCCCCAGTAAAACTTTGTACTCTAGTTGTGTGTCACCTTCTGCTTCCTGGAGAACTCAATCAGTATAACATCTTCAAGTAATGTTTATTTTGTATTTATTTCAGAAAGTAATCATGGGATTTAAACTTTATAAGACTTTGCAAGTATGAATTATCTATTTGTTCTCCTATGGGGTTGCTACTTTTGTTATATAATTCTAGGTTCAAAATTATTTCTGCACAGACTTTGAAGATCTTGTTCTATTGTCTTCTAGTATCCAGTATTGCTGATGAGATGTCTGATCATAATCTGATTCTCCTCCTTCGTTGTTAGCCCATTTTTTTGTTTTGTTCCTATCTCTGAAAGCATTTAGTTTCATCTTTATCCTCAATGCTATAAAATTTCACTAGGCTGTGGCCAAGCAGAGTTGTTTTTCATTCATCCTGCTTGGATGGTCCTTTTGATCTAATGACTTGTGTCATTCTTCCATTCCTTTCTCTGCGTTGTCTCTTTTTCTGGAACTCTGACTAGACAGTCAGCCATTGTGTATTCTGGATCTTGATTTTACTTTTATATTTTCTGTTCTCTACATTCTGGTGTCCTGGGAGATATTTTCCATTCTATCTACTGTAACTCCAAATTTGATCTTTAGCCACGACCAATCCGTTTTCACCTCAGCAATCACACTTTTAATTTTCAAGAACTCAACTATTCTCTTGTTGCTCCTTTTAATTGCACCTTATTCTAGTTTTTATTTCTGTACTATCCTCTTAGATGTCCTTGAGGATATCAGTTAACATTTAAAAAGATAATTCCATACTATTCCTTGCATTATCTTTGCTTCCTCTTGGGTCAGTTATTGTTTGCCCTTTCTTTTTTAAAGTTGTTACTGTTTCCTCTTCAATGTCTGGTAGACATTTGTTTATATTCATGAATAAAGGACTACATTGATTTTTATCTGTAAAATGTCTGAGTCCTGGAGACAAGCAGGCTTTTCCATTGATGGTGCATGAGAAAAAATAGCCATACTGCCTGAAACTGCCAACTCAAGGAGGGACTCTGAGAATGGGGTGAGGTGGCCTTTCTTTCTCTCCACGTCTGTTATAATTAGGCTCTACACTGTTTCTCCTCCTAGTCCTATACTCAACCAACGGGCTCTCCCCAGGTAAACTGACTCTGCTGAAGTAGTTCTCCAGGCAGCTCCAGCTGACAAATGCTTCATTCAGAGCTCACAATACTGTGGGCCTCTGACCTTTGTGCACTGCCTGTGTCCGGAGCCTCTTAGGAGCTCAATGGGGCAAATGGTTCTTTCTCTACTAGCTTCTACAATGTGTATTCTGTGCTGTGATTTTCTCCATTCCGGGCTATGTGTCCATACTCTCATTCGCTTTCCAAGTCCCAGAAATTAAAATCTCGGGTTTGCTGATTGTACCATCTGTTGTTTTCATGCTGCAATAGACTTTCCTCTTTTGTATTTCTTTATCTTTTCACTAGGATCCTATGAAGGAGGGGATGCAATCATATGTGCCCAACCCTAAGGCTAGGGCTGATCCAGCCCTGATGGCCACATGTAATCCTGACTCCTGGACACAGGGGTGAGCATCTAATTGAGGCCAAAACAATGAAGAGTTCTGCAGTGAGGACTGAAAAAGAGAAGTGAGTCTATGGTTGAGAGATGTCTTAGGTTTGGGTCGCTGTAAGAAAATAGATACCACAAACTAAGTAGCTTTAAACAATGTAAATTTATTTCTCATAGTTCTGGAGGCTGAAGTCAACCATCACAGTGCCAGCATGGTCAGGTCCTGGTGAAGATCCTCTTCCCCACCGCAGACTTCTGAACTTCTCACTGTCCTCACATAGCAGACGAGGGGAGGGATCTCTCTGGAGCCTCTTTTATAATGGCACTAACCCTGTTAAAGGCTCAAGCCCTCATGACCTAATCACCTCCCACAGATCCCCACCTCCTAATATCATCGATTGAGCATTAAGTTTTAATGCATGAATTTGAGGGGACACACTCAATATACAGCAATAGGCTGTGAGGGATAAAGTTCAGGAACTTTTAGGTGGGGAGGGGGGCAGCACTAGAGAAGCATACAGTGGAGATGAGGGCACTGAGAAAAAAACCATAAGAAGGTCCAGTTACACTTCATCTTTGGTTTCCCTGGGACACCCTGTATATTTAGAATAAATGTCTCTCTTGCTTATACTAGCTCTGTGTGAATTTCCGTCACAAGTAAGAGCACGAAATCTTGCATCATCTTGACCCTCTTGGAATGTTACTCTGGTCTGGCTGCTGTCAGGGAGGAGGGTACATCAAGAAGCGGTTACACCAAGGGGCCAGAGTTTCTGCCCACAGTGCAATGATGGCCAATGACAGTGATCTCTGCAGATAATAAACACCTTACTTGCCGCCCTTGTAAAATGAGGAAAAGGTACAGATAATATGGAGGCTCTTTCCTCTTAGCCTAATTTTACAAGGTTCTGTTCATAAACTTGACAGGAGGAGTACGACATATCTCCCTAACTTCCCATGGAGGTAATTTTTTTTAATGCTCAGAAATACTGTATAACTTTAAAGATAAATCAGCTTGTTACACGGGAAAAATGGCAAAATATTCATTAGGAAACAGAGATTAAACCCACCATCACTTTGTTCAAATAGTCTGTGCTTGTCTCCCCATCCTCTAAATTTTTAGCTTCCTTTAATCATATTTGCGTAGCCTTAAGGAAGCCGCTTTTCCACTTAAAAATCAGTTCTTTACTCTAACGTCACATTTTCATAATTCTTCCCGAACTTCACAATTTATTAAAGCTTTTACTTCTAGGAATTGTTACCTTACTTGGAAATGGGGCGGGGGGAGGGGTGGAGGAGAGGGAGAGGGAGGTTAAGAAATAATTCTAAACTCTCTCCAAAAAATAAGATTAATATACTTTCAAAATAAAGACTCGCTTTGCTCAAACCCTCTTGGTTAAAAGACCTCTGAGGGCAGAACCTATGTCATTAGACAGTTTTCATGCTGTGCTTACAACCGAGGAGGAGCTCAATACCTTTTAAATGAAATAAAACAGGATTCGGATCAAAAAGTCAATGAAAGTAACCTTAACGTATTGCCCTCTGCATTGTCGAGGACAGGTGGGGGCAGTTTCTCCTGTGACCGAAAGGCCTTCAAATACCCTGCAAGACCAGAGGGCCTGGGCTGTGGAAGGAGCCCTGGAATTTGAACCAGCTTTGCGACGGGAACTACGACCCTCGCTTTGCGGCTCCAGCCCCACCTTCCTACCTGGAGCCTAGAGAAGAGCCCCTCAGTCTTCGGCTTTTTCCGCGGCGCCGGCCTCCACCCAGCGCGCCTGGGTGCCCCGTGAGTGCTCGTGAGCCTCTCAACATCTCGAAAGTTCGACGGTGAGCCATGGGAAATAACGCGCGACGGCTCTCCGAGCTCCAAGTGCCGTAAGTTACTCTTGGCTTTGGTGGTTCGGAGAACTCAGGGTAAGTAATCTCCGGTTTTGGAAATCTCAGGTCACAAAAAGTCGAGCCAGGCAGGAGTCGAACCTACAATCTTCTGATCCGTAGTCAGACGCGTTATCCATTGCGCCACTGGCCCCTCGCACGCTGGCCGCCTGAGGGGTGTGCAGACAAGGTAGTGTGGCCATACCAGTCACCCCAACAGTAGTAAAAGAAGAGTGAGACAGGCACGCGGGGGGTGGCGTCGGAGCCCCAGTCGTGGCGCCACAGGTCTCAGACGCCTGAGTTGGGGGCTTTTCTCCGGGTCAGTTGCTCCCGCGCGTCGGAGCCTGGTCGTCTCTCTGCGCACGCGTCAAACGACGCCGGCACGTACCGCCCCGCCCCCGGTTCCGCGCGCTTCAGCCGGTCTCTGGCTAGGAGTTGGGCGCCCTGGTTTATTTGTGTTGAATCTCTAAGGGCTTACGTCGTACTTTCGTCCCTTCGATAGCTCAGCTGGTAGAGCGGAGGACTGTAGCTACTATTCCTAGCAAGACATCCTTAGGTCGCTGGTTCGATTCCGGCTCGAAGGAGACAAACGTTCTTTTTTTTCCCCAGTGTTCTATGATTTAGGTCCTTTCCTCTGATACACTTCTCTAAAACATTATTACATTCCAAAGAACAATTGGAAATCCTCGTACTTTCGCTCCAGTTTTGACCTATGGCACCGTCCCTGTTTGAAGTCTCTCGCAAATCCCCGAAGCGGGCACTGCCGTCCAAGTTCTAGCCGCGGCAGAGAGTCTGCGGTCGGCGAGCCGGCTCCGGGTCTCGGCTTTCTGCTCGTTTCTAGATCGCCTTTGGCGTTTCCCCAGCCCCTGAGTCGGGCAGAGGAAGCCAACGCGGCCAGGCCGCCTGTGGGGCCAGCCGCCAGCTTCCCGGGTCTCGTACTTTTTCCTCAGAGCCCCGGCAACGTCAGCGACCAGAGTGCTCGCTCCTGCTGCCGCGAAGAGCTGGGAGGTCCGGGAGGAAGATACTGTGTTCAAGTGACCTGAGAATCTGGAAGAAACGCGGTTGAAAGCACACGAAGCGAAGAAATGACTAAAACTTATGAAGAGCTGAGAGTTCAGTCTTTACTCCCTTCGATAGCTCAGCTGGTAGAGCGGAGGACTGTAGGGTTAATTCCGGGGTTATCCTTAGGTCGCTGGTTCGATTCCGGCTCGAAGGAGAGGCTCTTTTTGTCATTCTAGTATTAGTTATGAGGAAGGTCAGGAATGTGATCAGGACTATTTTTGGTTGCATCTAAATACCCTGACCTCTCTCTAGGGGAAGCCATAATCAACGAAAGTCAGGAGTGGGGGATTAGCTCAAATGGTAGAGCGCTCGCTTAGCATGCGAGAGGTAGCGGGATCGATGCCCGCATCCTCCAGTTTTTTTTTCTGTTAGTCCCATCGTTTTTCTTTCCATTCTCACCTAACTGCGAGTGGAGCTTAAGGTCAGCCTTCCCATAAGTGAGGGGTATGGCGAATTTGAAGTTACAGCTCTGTAAAACTTCCAGAGAAGGGATAAGAGGGGCTAGCAATTTATCTTTAATATTTTAAAAATTTAGACACACTTTGCGAAGTTCACGAGATTGAGTCTTTTTCTCTGCAAAAATGGCGACCGATTGCAGCCACGTCTTGACATTTTGACTTCGTTGTGATTTCTGATTGATAGCTGCATTTTCAGGGATCCGTCCAAGACAAAGCTGCCCACAGAGTAGCTGACAGATGGGAAAACAAAACTAAAGTAAAAACAAAGAACTTGGAAAAGTACGTTGACTCTTTTACACCTGAGCCTAGAAAGCGAGGGCAGTGCTCCTTCTCAACCACGTACATTGTGGGCCCCGGCTCTGGGTAGATCCGAGATGGACAGGATAAGGGAAACTCGGCGCTTGCTGATGGAGGAGGGTTCTAATGCCATTTTCCTCTTGGGAAATAACTGTAGAGAGTTAACAAGAGACCAGAACTAAGGCAATTAATCGGAGGAAAGTTCTTTCTAGGGCTGCCCTTGAGTGTAGTCAGTCTATCTTGTTAAAGATAAGACAAAAACAAACAAACATACAAACACACTGAAAGATTCAGAAATTGAGCAGGACACATACAAAGGCTTTTCTGGCAATAAGTTCTTCCGATACTGATTTTCTAGAATACAGCCACAAAAAAAGCTGTTGAAACCATACTGCTTTCTAAACACAAAATATAAAGCTTCTAGACAAAAGCAGAGATATTATCTTTTTTGAAGATTACGATTAATAAATAATCGATCGTTCTTTTATCCGATGTCCATATTAGGGTTTTAGGGAACCTGTACATTTCGTTCCCAATGTATACAACCCATTGTGTTTTATTGGTATATCTTTCATTTTTGGGGCAGTATCATTTTTATCTCATTTTATTCTTTCAATAAAGTCTTTTAACTGAATGTATAGTGAGTCACTTAAAATATAGCCTCATCATTTTTTGTGAAAGCAAATTTACAAAGTAGGAAAAAATCCTTTTATCAGATGATATGTCCCAATTTTTAGTTGGGATTATGGGTGTTCTAGCCGGTTGACAGGAGGAGCTGGCAGTCAAACTACACATTGCTTAAAAGAGCAAGGAATGAGTAGTAAGTAAAAGAAAAAAAAAAAAAAAAGGAAAGAATAGGAAGGAATGCACCCAAAATGCAGGTGGAGAACACATTTGGTGCAGGTGAGTTGGGCAAGAACTCAAACAGAATCTCAGGATCAGCAACTCAGGTGTGGAATGGAATTCATATGAAAAATCTAAAGGTAAAAACCCTGAGACACTTTTGCATAGTGGTTAATCAAGGGGTCTGCGAAACCTGACGGCCTTTCTTGGTTTTGCCATTCCTTAGCTGGGTGATCTTCAGCAAGTTGCTTGACATTTTGGTGTTTTCATTTCTTCATTTGTAAAGTAGGGATGATAATAATGGTGTCTACTTTCAATTAAGATATAGCATGTAATTTCAGTGCCTGGCACACAGTAAACATTAGGTATTATCAGTGCATGTTACCAGCACACCATAGATGGCAGGCCTGGAGGGAATATTCTGAGGGTTTGTATGTGTATTTATATAAATATATATGGAAGTACAAAAAAGAGGTGTTGGGTCTACTGTGCAGAGAAAGCAGAGCAATTCTAAAAATACAAAATGACGGTTAAGTAAATTATGGTGTGACCATATAATGGAATACGTATAAGCCATTGAAATTATTTTTATCAAAAACTACTATTGACATGGAGAACGTTAATAATCAAATGCTAATTATATAAAGTAGATACACAGAGCCATATAAACAATAACAACATAAACTACCATAAATTACCTGTAGAAAAAAACTGGAGAAATTTAATAATGTTAATAGTAGTGATCTTTGGGTAGTAGGATTACTGTGATATATTCTTAAGATATTAAAATATTTTCTGAGTTTTCTGCAATAAACATTTATTATTTTTAATTGAAAATATTGGTGAATTTTAAAAATTAACAGCTAACATTTATTCAGCCCTTCCTACAAGCCAAGCATATTCTTAGTTATTTTATACATATTAAAATATATTTCTCTCATAAAGAAAACACTAGGCCCAGTTGGCTTCAGAGATGAATTCTACCAAAGATTTAAATAGAAATAATATCAATTATAAACAAATCTCTAGAAAATTGAAGAAGAGGGAGTTCTGTCCAGCCTACTCTGGGAGGCCAACATTACCCTGATCCCCAAATCAGGGAAAGACGTTACAAGAAAACTGCAGACTGATATCCTTCATGAACATAGATGCAAAAATTTCAAGCAAAATTTTAGCCAATTAAATCCAACAATACATAAAAAGGAAAATACATCATGACCAAGTAGGATTTATTCCAAGAATATAAAACTGGTTCAACATTCAAAAGCCAATGTTAATTTATCATAATAAACAGACTGAAGAAGAAAAACCACATGATCGTTTCAGTAGAGGCAGAAAAGTATTCAATGAAATCCAACATCCATTCCTGATTTTTAAAACTGTCAACAAACTTGGAAAGGAAGGGAACTTCTTCAAACTGATAAAGGGCATCAATGAAAAACACACAGCTAACATTATACGTAATAGTATGAACACTTTCCTCCTAAGATCAGGAACAAGGCAAGGATGTCCAGGGGTTTCTAGCCAGTAAGGCAAGGAAGACAAAGTAGAAGACTTGCAGACTACAAAAGAAGTAGTCAGACTATCTCTATTTACAGATACCTCATTTTTAAAAATATTTGATTACATGTCGAAATGATAATCGTTTATATGTTTGGAGGCTAAATAAAGGATATTAATGAAATTAATTCTATTTGATTTTGATTTTCAGCGTGGCTACTAGAAATTTAAAATCATATGTATGGCTCATATATGTCACTCACATCTTATTTCTATTGTATAATTAGGTCAGAGATAGGTAGGGGCCAGATCATGTCAGGCCTGAGGGATTACACCGAGAAAGTCCTTACCTTAGGGGTCATATGACCATTAATGGGATTTAAATAAGGAATGACACATGAGAAATAGATTGCTGAAGGCAAAAGTGAATTTAGAGAAATCAGTTAGGAGGCTTGGGTGGAGAGGAAGTAGGGGGAATTGTGTGTGAGGGTGGAGACGAGGTAAGGAGTTCAGACATGGCCATCGGAAGGCCTTAGCTAAAGTATTTGCTACTTTTTGGGACTCTCACTGTTTATTTCTGGCACATGAATTATGCCAAGGAGTTTTCAGAGGAAAGTATAATATGTTTTCTAACATTTCCTTAGAGATATTTATGATAAAGTAAAATTTACACATGACATATTTGGAAAAGGAGTAATTATCAAGATAAAAAAAGCTATCAGCCAGAAGTTTGCTAATGAAAGAAATGCCATGGTGTTGGCTTCTGTTATGTACTTTTCAAGTAGTTCATTTCTCTTTGATTTTAGATTTTATAAATTTTTTTTTCATTAAAAATTTAAAAATTACATATCCAAACTGCTTATTGACAAATAGCTAAACTGAAAAGTTTTACAATGTAGACAGAAGGAACATGTTAAGTATCTTGGAGATGTCATGAGCCCTTGTTGTAAGGAGATTCTTCTTGTTTCCTTGTACACCAGGGTTGCACTGTATCTGCTGCACTGCTTCGCTTCAGACCGTATCTATTTTTTATTTCCCTTTAAATCTACCCTCCATCTGACCACAAATCCTCTGTTTTGTTTGACGAGTGACTAGCTCTTTAGGCTAAGCCTGGATTATTTTCAGGTACCTGGACTTGTAACTATCCATGTTAAAGAGACAAAGAGCGCATGGTTAATCAAATTCTGAGGACATTCTCGAAACCTCAGGAAGGGTAGCATTCCTGACACTGATTCCCTGGGACTTTTCCAATGCCTCCTGTTCCCAGAATGCTCTGTCTTGTTTTGCAAGTTGGGATGAAGAATCGATGTTGCTCATAACTATTCTGGGGTTAGAGGAGTTTCACATCACCTTAACCAGGAAGTACGAAATCCACCAAAAGAAGAGACCCAGTTCCTGCTAGAGAATCCTTTATATCCATTCCAGTTTTCCCCCAAGGGATTTTTTATATCTCATGTTCTAAGGTTGATTGTCCAATATGGTAACCACTAGCCCCGTATGGTTATTTAAACATAAGTTTAAAATAAATAAAAGTAAAAATTCAGATCCTGAGTTGCATCATACATAATTCAAGTACTCAGTAACTAACTACCTGTGGCTCGAGGCTGGACAGCACCAATACAAAACATTTACATCACTGTAGAAATTCTAATGGGCAGTGTGCCGTAGAGCAGAGCTGTGGTGTAGTTTCGGGGATGAGGTCATGCGCTCTGTAGTCAAAAGATGTATCTCTTGATCTGCTTCACAACTAGCAGCCATATGTCTGGGCAACTACTTACCTTTGCTTGAGCCACAGTTAGCTAGAGGGAGATAGTAATGCCTATTATAGATAGCGATTCTAAGAAGCAATCTGTACTCCGTATGTACTTATTATGTTTATTTCGTTGGCATAGCACTTAAAGTACATATACTAGAACCCCCTTTTTTCCCTTCCTGAGATGAAGAACACACTGATATCTACATTTCACCCCTATGCCCTGGCCCCTGATATCTAGGTACATTTTGCCGGGTAGCTAGAGGTTGAAAGAGGTCGAATGTCTTTTCTTTCTGTTGTCATCTCTTAGTGCCAAGTCCGCCGTTGGGCAATACTCAGGCTCCTAGGGACTCATCTTTCTTCCTCTGACTTATCTGGGGGGTTGGGAAACTGCTGGAGGAGATGAGAGCAGTGGTGGTTTTACGTCAGCTTCTCAACGTGTCTAAATGCGCTCCTGCCTCAGTCAGGTGGGACTCAGAAATGAGGCGTAATCAGAGCTTCCAGTTAAGGCAGCTCCCTGTGTAATTGCCCCTGATTGGTTTCAAGCCCCCGTCCTAGTGTAAGGTGGGTTGGGGTAGGAGAAAGGGAGAAAGTCCTGTATCACTCCTCTACAGTCCACCATACCCTTAGGACACTATGCTGGTTTTCATGTCTCTGTGGAGGCCCAGGTCCACTGCAAAGCACAGCACCTTGAAGCTGACTTCTCTTCTGATTCAGCTCCAGAATTCTCCCTATCTCTCACACCTTGTGAATGATTTGGGAGCAGACTAGAATTTTCTGGTTCTTCCCTAGAGCAGTGTGCTACTCCCATGTCCCACTCCCACGCACATACCACCCCATAGATTGCTGGTCTCTGAGAGTGGGGAGGGGCAAGAGATGGAGAAAAGAGGATGAAGAGGGGAAGGTGATTATTACTCATCAGCGTGGCTCTTATTCCTATGGCCGTCTTCTTGGTTTCCTGTGTGGCCTCCAGGGGCAAGTCTAAGAAAGGCAGAGAGCAAGAAGGAGCAGAAGGAAAAAGAAAGGAGAGGATAGGTGTCAGCTCTATGAAATGATCCAATTGGAGATTCTCAACGTCAAAATTAATAGTTTCCGAGGGTTTTTTCCTCTACAAATTCTGCTAAGTTAGGTTATGAACTCCAGCTAGGAGAACTGAAATCCAGCTAGGTGAGGTCACTTTCCCAAGATCACAAAGCGAGGTGGACATCAAAGCTGAATCGGCCTGTCTCCTGACTCACAACGCAGCCTCTCACCTCATCATCGCCGGTTGCTCAGACTCAGGGCATCTGAGTTGCCTCTGTGGACTCTGCTTCCAGAGCTGCCCCAGAGTCCGTTTCTCCGTTTCCTTCCCCACTGCCACCCCTCAGTGTCAAGTCACCGTGACCTCTCACCTTGGCTACTGGCAACAACCTCCTATCTGGTCTTAGGCAGATCACTGTCACTCTAATCTGTCCCAACCGTCATTGAGAGATTAATCTAACCAATGCAAACTCTCATAAAAACTTCCCTGAGAGTAACTCGTAACGATTTCCTGTTGCCTAATTTATTGACTGTTAGAAATTCTTTAGCCCAGTATGCATAGCCTGCCAATGAGCCGGCAGTATGCTCTGTGCTCCAGCCCTAAACTCTGAGCGAATCCAGCTCTCCTGTGCTCACTGCTGCCTTCCCTGGGGAAGCCCCATCTACTTCCCACCTAACTACACATCCATCCGTTTAAATTCCTCAGTAGAGCAATTCAAGTGCTACCCGACCCATGAAGCGCTCCTAACCCCTCCAGCTTTAAAATTCTGTAGTTCTTTATCACATGTTGCTTTGTACTGTGGTGCTTTGTACTGTATATGCATGTCTCATCTCCACTGTTAGACTGAGCTCCTTGAGGACAATGACCTGTGTCTAGTTTGTCTTTCGATCCCTAGAGCTGAGCACAGTGGAGACACAGGATGAACATTCAATGAATGTTTTCTGAAAGAATGAATTCCTATTATAAAGACGGGCTCTGCTACAATGTGTATTATTAGTTTAACTACCTTTTTTTAGGTTGCAAGGTCCTTTACAGTAGAAACTTTCTAAGTATAAATATTGTGCTCAGATCTCCATGGCCCATGAAATAATAAACACAATTAACTGCCCAGGCTGGCTGAACTGAATTAACACAGTAACAGGATTTCATCAATTCCTGATGAAACCTTCTTCACTGTAGTTGCTAAATAGATATTGAAAGGAATATCAAAATTCTCCCAAGATCCCTGAGATGTTTATGAATATATATAACTTATTATTAGTTAATGGAGCTTTTTAGATTCTCAATAAGCTCTCAGTGCACACAGCACTAAGACCACACATAACCAGTCACACCGCCCTACTCTTTACCGGTAATTAAGAGCACACCCGGGATATGTTAACAAAATGTGTTCATTGTTTTCAGATTTTTAAAATCCAGGAGAAATGAAGCTGCAAATTCATAACATAAAAAACAGACATGTATTTCTTTTTCATTTTTAATCTGATTTTAAGTTTTTAAATAAAATATATATTGATGAAACCGTTTTACAAAATCCTGGTAAATAGCAGAATTGGTCTTTGTGACTCAACAGCAGATCAAGACAGAAATGACCAGGGAAACGATCCTTTAGAAAATGAGCTTGGAGGGCGAGGCAAGTGCGCAGGGTGTAGGTATTTCAGACCAGGTGAAAAACAGGTTATGGAGGCAGGACTCCACTCTCACTTCAGCTGGCCATGGCGCTGACATCTGCCGCCCGCTGTATGTCAGCACGAAGTAATGGGGCTGCTACCCCACATGCCAGTTACTAACTCATTACTGATAGTTGTTGCAAACTACTAAATTTAACCTTTAAAAGTCTGTCTGATTTTCTTTGTGTTTCGGGGGGTGCGTAGAGGTGGGAGTCAGGGGAAAGAACAAAGCAGGGTTAGGGAATGGGAAAGCAATGTAAAAGTAGAGTTTTATTACACAGCTTTTAAAAAATTGAGTCATCAACTGGCGTTTGGAATTTTTTTATTTTGTGGACATTTTTATGGTGAAAATATTTGAAATCTGTTTTTAAGTTGAAATTTTTCCCATATCACAACCTTTGCAAAGGTGAAATATTTAACATTAAGCAAGTCTTTTTAGATGATTGCCCTTGTGAAGCCAGGGTAATGATTTTCCAGACATGTTTTGTTTGTTTTCACCTAAGATGATGTGATCATGCTACTTGAGGTGACTCACTTCCTAAACTCTCAGGACAGAAACGGCACGCATTATACAGTGAGGCCCTTGGGCTGGGTTCTCCCGGTCCTGAGGAAACCCGGCACCACGTTTTTACTGAGCGCTGCAGAGGGCGGGGCTCGGTGACTTGGTGACTTGGTGGCTTGCACATTCGCATTTGTTGTTGACAACTGTCGGCTTCCACCTCCTTCTCCTCACAACCCCGTCTAAATGGGGTTTGTAATCCTCCTTCCCACCTACTCTCTTTACTCCCTGGGGCAGGAATGTTGGCTCCTGCTCTCTGTCACCTGTCAGAATCCATCTTCCTGTCACTGGCTTATATGGACAAGAAAGCCCACTGTCACGTGACCCCTCAGGCTGCTAAAAACAGCTGCGGCTCCCACTCTGAACCTGGGCCTGAAACAATGTCCTCCACTGAAAGAAACGTGAAGGGCACTCGATCACACAGTCCTCGGGATCGCTCCTAGGAAGCACCTGCAGAAGCCACTCGCAGCGCCCTTTCCCTGGCAGCGCTCGCGGGGACGGCCAGGAGATGAGCGCATCTTTGAATTACAAGTCTTTTTCCAAAGAGCAGCAGACCATGGATAACCTGGAGAAACAACTCATCTGTCCCATCTGCTTAGAGATGTTCACGAAGCCCGTGGTCATTCTCCCGTGTCAGCACAACCTGTGTAGGAAATGTGCCAGTGACATTTTCCAGGTAGGTTTGTTTGAGATGTAAGGGGTGGAAAAGAGTCTGTCCTCTGAATCAAGCACTTAATTTTGAGGTGAATTCCTTTAGAAAACTTTAAAAAGCTACATTCATTTTCAAGAAAAACAAAAATTAATGATTTGCCTTGTGCTTTGCTGTCAGCCTCCTCCTTATTCCCAAATCTAATTTTATTTCAGAACTAAGAATCATATTTGTTAAAATGGAATCTGTTTCAAAATTATAAATGAATTGCTACCCAAGACATTAATGCTGGAGTTTCTGGCTGGAACTTTTGGTTATGAAAACACTGTATAGGAAAGCACTGCATGTTGAAAATGGTTCACTGCAGTCAACTGTTGATAAGTGCTGGCCCCGTGTCTTGGGACCACTTGCTGATAGGCCCTGAGGGATTATCTCATGGCAAGCTTAAAGTAGAAGTTGTTGTTGTTTGTGGTAACAGAGAGTGAAAAGAAGTCTCAGAAAGGCTACCTGTGACATTACTCAACTCTTCTCTTCTTGCTTGGCAAGAACAGGCCTCTAACCCGTACTTGCCCACGAGGGGAGGCACCACCGTGGCGTCAGGGGGCCGATTCCGCTGCCCTTCCTGTAGACACGAAGTGGTTTTGGATAGACATGGGATATACGGACTTCAGAGGAACCTGCTGGTGGAAAATATCATTGACATCTACAAGCAAGAGTCCACCAGGTATGGTTCTTCCGTGTATCAAATCCATTTGAAGCTTGTTTTTGTTTACTTCTTTGTTTTAGTGGGTTGCTACACTGAATGCTTGTTTATCAATCACAGGCTAATTGTTTTATAGGAAAATGTTTTTCCAAGTCAGTCCTTCCCTATGGGAGAGTTGCTCCTGGGAGGAGAGAAGGGAGCTGGTGCCCATGCTCTTGTATCAATTTAAGAATGAAGTAACTCAATACTAATCCAGTCCAGATGGTGGTACTGAAAGAGCCATAATGCTGCCCTCACCCAAGCCTTGCATTACATACAGTGTGGATATTTCTACACTTCACAGGTCCTTTATAGCTCTAGATTCTACTTAGCGGAAAAAATATAGTATAAAACTCTATAGAATATTAACAGAACTGGCATCTTCTAAATAGTCCATCCCTAGTTCAGACAGTCTTACCTTAAAATTATCTAGGTGATAATAAAAACAAAATTGTCTAACATGTCACAGTATTGACTCTGGAAGTTGCAAAGCAAGGCATAGTCCTGGCCTTTAGCAACTTAAAGTTTAGAGACGTGGGAGGAAAAAAAGATGGAGTTCAGGTTATGTTTCCCTGTTCTCCAGATTGTATCTACTGCATACTCTTCACCTGTAGATTGATTGATATACAGTATCTACATGCAATCCTTAAAAAAAGAGTGGGGGTGCGTCTTAGTCATCGAATCACATTGACTACAGAGTTCCTTTCCCAAAGACAACACTGCAGCAATTCATTCCTAGAAGGCATGGTGTGAAGAGCCCTTTTTTCAGTCGTACACGGGTCCGTCGGGTCCACAAAGCTTGATGGCAATAATGAGACCATCTAAAAATGACCTCATTGTGATTCTTATTAGGAGACATGCATTTAAGGGACATCTGCAGGACTCTAAGAGCCTTGCACTCTCAGAAGAAAAGCTGTCCTATAAATCTAACATGTAACTATGGTAATTACTACAACCATTAGTTTCTGCTTAACATTCAAAACTAAATTAGATAGTGCCAGGTGGAACTAGGGAAAAAGAAAGATTGCTAATGACATTGTAGAGACATGGAGTTGGCTGTCCCTTGCTTCCAAAGTCTTGAGAAGAAGGAAAGTATTATTGTTGCTGTTGCTTCACAGATCTGATTTCATTGTATTTCATTATGTTAAAATGCAAATATGCACTGTCACTTAAAAAATTAAACATCTTATTTATAACCAACCACTGATTCAGTGCCTAGCACAGAGCCTTGCACAGAATGGTTGCTCCATAAGTGCCAGCTGATTAAGCAACACCACAAATCTTGCATGTCCTAGTTATTGAAATAATTTTCTGTTTTGCTACTTGCCACAGTGAGAGCTTGAAACATGTGAAATAATAACAATAATTGTTATGAAATTGAAAGAGGAGAAAATGTTAAAATTTGTAGCTTTAGTAAAAGCACAAGACACCTTACTGTGTAGTACATCTACCAAAAATAGTGCCCAGGTGAGCAAAATGTATAAAAGCAATGAACCAAATTACCAACAATGACGCTCACAGCCGAGTGCGCTAGTGGTGTTTTTGTGATTATCATATTCTTCTTATGCTGTCATTTCTTGAACTTGGCGCTTACCTTTGGGACATTTTTACTTGGTAACAAAAGCACAGGTTGCACAGAGGGCTTGAGCACATGTTTGGACATAAATCCAGTTGCTCTGGAGGCTGGCAACCTTACCAGCCCAGAACTCTGAGCCTCAGTGTACATTAAGTAACCCTGGAATAACCTGGGATATGCAGAGTGAGATGAATCCAGCTCCAATCCACAGTCACTGGGGTTGGTGGCAGAAAGGGGAGGAGCTGGTCAACTTGGACCTCCTACAGAAAGGCTGGAGATCATAGGTCTTGATAAAACTTGGTCTTCTTACATAGAATTCTGCGTGGTGCCGAACTAGCCACAGGTTGGGGGAAATGACAAGAGAAGGACCTAATTTTGCTGATATTAATAGTGAACATAATAATTAACTTTAAAATATGGACAAGAAAACTAATATGTGCTGAGTAGGTGTCAACCACTGTTCAGGGTGGTTTACACATGAATCATGTGTAATTCTTGAATTCTCATGACAATCCTGTGAGGTTGTGACTATTATTATTACCTTATTAAAAATTTTTAATATTTGACTCAAAATAATTCATATATATGCTTTCATAATTCAAATAACACTACAAGCCCTCTTAATGGGATTTTGACGGGAAACAAATAAATACATGCATGTGTTTATTTATATTCTGCCATATTTAATTAGAAGACCCTTAGCTCAGTTTTTAGATTTGGGTAAAAGCTGAGCCTGAAAGAGGTTAAGTAACTTGTCTAAGGCCACACAGCCACCACATGGAGAAGCTGAGCTGGAATTAAGCTTTAAGATCAGTTTGACTCTAAAGGTACAGAGAGCAGCCTATGGACTCCTTGAGTCTAGCCTGCACTGAATGGCTAGGACCACTGCCAACATTTGGCAGGGAGCCCCTGAATCACAACTGTGAGCTTGGCCACCGTCACATCATGAAGGGGCATTTGCACCTTTATTCCACACTTCATGTTTGTCCCAAGTCTATTATGTAAGTTGTGTCAAGGTTTTCATTACATACTCATTTTTAAGTGGGGATGCTTCTGGGCCTGTATTGCCACCTAAACAAGAAAAGCCTAATAAGGAATATGGGAAGTAGTTCTCAGTCTGTATCGCATTGTGAAAAAATAAATGATCACAATCAAAAACCTAACATAGAGCCTTATGGCTATTTCCATATTTTCAGTGTTGGCACGTACTGAGTATACCTGAGTTCTATGACACTGTGGTCAGAGCTGTTGACATCGGAACAGCACAAGGGATGCGGGCTGCCCTCAGGAAGTGACTAGGGGACATGAGCCACAGTCGCCAGTGCCATTTTCCAGTAAATGTGCTCCAAACACTTGCTGGACACATACTACAAGGTGAAAGTACAAGAGAGGGAAGATTTTAGAGCTGGAGAAGCCTCTGACACAGCAAAGACCCAATCGCTGCTCCTAATCTCTAGGCAACCCCCAGAGGGCTTTTCATTTATAAATGGGGGCTTCAGGCCATTGTCTGGTCTCTTCCTTTGCCACTCCTGAGTGCTAGGTGACTCCGGGCCATGTTTCATGTGCCTCCCCTGGATGAGCAGCTTGCTGTTATAGCACAGGGAGTACTTTCCACTAATCTGGCAAATTCTCTTTCAATTCTCACTCATTCATTCAACAAATATTTACTGAGCACCCACTCTTTGCAAGACATTGTTCTGGGTACTAGAGAGTCAGGAATAAAAAAAGGACAGACCATGGCCGCTGCCCTCGTAGAGCTCAGATTACCACCCAGGGGGGTAATTTTCTATGCTGGGGAGTTTATTTTCTTCAGTTAGCTTCCAGGCATATGGCAGAAATCAAGTCAGGAGCTCACAGATTTCATGGAAAACGTATTTCTACAAGACCAGGCAAAATTTCCCTTTACTAAAATCAGATTCGGAAATTTTGAAGCAGGCTGTCCATATGATTTCTTTATGGGAGCCAGGGCTCCTCCCAGTCTCAAACACTTGACTTCTACCTAGAGACTTACAGATGTAAACCAGCGTATTCTCTGCCTTTCTCTTGAGTTTTAGGGCTGCAGCTACATAATTCCCCACATCAATATCAGTGGTCTTCAAATATTTTTATTCATATCTCACAATAGGAAATATTGCATTGTGATCTAGTGACCAATACAAATATGGATGGATATAGATATATAAGCAATATATACTTTGTTTCAGGCCTACATTGATATGTACGTACACACATATACACGTGCATACTCATATATATGTACACCTGAAACAAAAGTTTCGCATATCAATACTTATCCTTACTACATGTACTTCACAGAATTGACTATTCTGTTTTATTCTAACAATGCTGGTCATGACCCCCTAAATTGATTTCATGGCCCATAAAAACTTGCAGTTTTTAAAAAGTAGATCTTGATAACAACTAAAAAAATTCAGTTCCAATCTGAGACACTTCTAAATAACCATATGCTTGGGAATATGAATAAAGGTTTTGGATTTGTCTTGAAATTTTTCAGATACCTCTGAAAACTATTAACAGCCTTAGTCTTTAGATAGAATATATATAAAAATTCCAGATTTCTGTAGAAGTTGGATACGCCCACACCTCCCACCATGTTCTCCAGAGGGAGCCAAACGCACCACAGTTTAATGAAGCTTTGATCTTGATCCTAACACCTAAGCCATGCTGATGGTTAGGGGGATATACAGGTTGCTATCATGTGCTATGAACTTGGGCTGCTGCGGGTGATAGTAGCAATGACTTGTCACCTCCTCTCTCATGTTTTCCATTTTTCATTGCTTGCTCATCATCTCACTGGCACATACAAACCCAATTCTCCATTATTACCTGTTGCAGTTCTGAAAAATTTTGGTTGTGCTGACCTGTTGGGAAAACTAAAACTTGAGAATTATCTGTGAGATTTGCACTTCCAAGGCACCACCAGGTCTCAAAACAGCATTTGGCATTTTTCTTACTGCCTATTCAGTATAATTCTTCACATTCACTGAGCACATACTACCCACTCTTAACCACTGCCAAGTCCTCAGGAAGTTATTTACATTTAATTTTCTGTGTTAACGGAAGGAGGTCTCTTGAGAAACTAGTGGGCTGTAGAGAGTGCTAGAGCACGGTCCTAATGCAAGAGCCCAGTGTTAACTCTCAGGAATTGTACTAACCAGTTTTTAAACCTTCAATCACTTTAAATCGCCATCCCGAGAATACTCATATCGTGGATGTCAGCAAATGCTACAGATCAGTCTTCACGTCCCCACCTGCCCCCAGGCTGATTGTTAAAGGTTTGTCAGTACATTACTGCTCCACGCAGAGGGAAACTGAGTTTGGAGGGCACAGAGAGTCCTCTGGAACAGGGTTGCTGGGGCGCATAGGGGCTAGCTGGGGTCTGCCATGTCTGGCCCCATGGGAGCTGACACATCTATCTGCTACCTCCTCCCAGACCAGAAAAGAAGTCCGACCAGCCCAGGTGTGAGGAGCATGAAGAGGAGCACATCAACATCTACTGTCTGAACTGCGAGGTGCCCACCTGCTCTCTGTGCAAGGTGTTCGGGGCACACAAGGACTGCCAGGTGGCTCCCCTCACTCACGTGTTCCAGAGGCAGAAGGTATCAAAGTCCCTCCCACCCCTGTGTGGCCACAGGGCCAGGAGACTGGACTGACGTAGAGGGTCAGGCAGGAAAGAATGCTGCGCGCATGCCATGGCCACCATTTGATTCTTTGGAGAGTGGTGGGGAAGGTCAGAGAGAGAAGAGATGCGGAGGGTGAAGAAGGGGTTTGGAGGGGGAGGGTCGCTGTTTTTGCGCTCTTTGGGGATTGCTGAAGATGAGAAGTGTTATGGGACTCGGTCAGAACTCGAGCTGCTCGAGCATTATTTCAAGTTCAGACTAGATGAGAAAAGGATACTTTTTTACTCCAGTCACAGAATATTTTTCTTCATTCACCAACGAAAGGTTGCTTTTGCCCCGCCCCACCCACCCGGGAATGGCATTTCCTTAAAGAACAACTTTAAAATAGTGCCTTGTGCCTGCCCTCAAGGCCAGGCGAAACCAGCTTCCTAGCCTTCCGCCCCAGGCAGTTGCGGAAAGGCGTCCTCTGAGTGCCCCACTCCCGAGCCTCGGCCTCACTCCTCTCATTCTAACCACATGCAGCATCTCCCGCAGCTCATCCCTCACCTGCCGATATGGTTTCACCCATGGACAGGAGGAACTTACCCATTTGATGCAAATAAATATGGAATCTCGAACTCAAATAATGCAGCCACCCTAGGCACCTAGAATTTGAGCAGCTCCACATCTCAAATTCTTTCTGTTAGAATCATAGATTCCACATTTGGTCAGTGTTTTACTGAGGATCAGAGTTGGAATCAAATTTGGAAGCCAGACTTTTGGGCAACGCCAGTTACCACCAGTGAGTACTGACTGCTAAAGAAGCAGGATATGTAAGACATCTGTAACATTTATTTTTCAATCCACTTATGACTTATTCCCCCTTTTCCTTCCACCCCTCCCTGCCCCACACACACTCAAGTCATAGTGTGTTAGAACTGAATAGTACGAGTTTCACACTGCTTCCCTCAGAGGCCTGGGATGGACAGAAGGGCAGACTGCAGGACTTCCGCCCGGCTCCTGTTTGGCCAAAGCAGCTTCACTTTTATCTACTGGGATTCTGCAATAGTTTCCATTTGAAAAAAGGGTTCTACAGCTTTAAAATGTTTAACAACCACTGTCTGGTCCAGTCTTCTCACTTAATAAGTGAGAAAATTAGATGATACAGTTTGCCCAACATCGCGGAGACGTTAGAGGCAGAAGTGTCTCCTAATCCCCATCCAGTGGCCCCGGGGCTCCTTAGGCCAAGCTCGGGAAGAGGTAAGTACGAACAGTGGACTCTCCTTGGGTCAAAAGAGTCTGAGAGACATTTCAAGTTGAAATTTTCTCCCTAGAACCAGTTGAACGTTATAGTTTCAAGTTTGTAGTGACTTAATTTAGTATGTGAGTTTGTGTATACCTAGCACATAAAAAGTGCATAATAAGTATATCTTGAATAAGTGAATAAATGAATGAGTATTTACTACTGTATACATTTCCCTAGTAAAACAGATCCTCAGCTGCACTAGGCAAATAATTCATTTTGTGTCCCTGCGTCATATATTGGACTCTATTCAATTTACAAACAATACTTAGAATCCTTTAGCTGAATTTGTTATTCTCTATCTGTTGCCTATAATTCAGCATTCTTAATGTTTTCAGCAGGGTCACAGTCTCTGTAAGAATTCGATAAAAATTCTTTATCATGAAATTCCTTCTCACACAAATACATTTCTATTGACATCAATACCGAATTTTAGTTTCAAAATTAGGCATTGCATGGGCCTCCCACGCCTCACTGTGACTCCTTAGGGTTCCACAGCCCCCAGATTAAGAACCTGTGAGGATAGTACCATGACTAATCCACAAGCAGTGCTGACTAGAGAAATCTCATGCCTCTCTTTTCTCTTCATTAGTCTGAGCTCAGTGATGGCATTGCTGGCCTCGTGGGAAGCAATGATCGAGTGCAGGGAGTGATCAGCCAGCTGGAGGACACTTGTAAAACTATCGAGGTAAGTCCAGGTTCCATGGCAGTGTAAGCCAGGCCTGAGCTCCTGGAGGTTGTGGCTCTCTCGGCTCCACGCTGGAAATCCCCATTTCCAACATTTCAAACTCTCCTTGTAGAATGACCTCCTTCCTTATATGTGTCTAAAATAGTCATCTCCTGGCACAGGAAGACAAGTTACCACATGAGTCAAGGCAGATTTACCACATTTACTAGGGTTTTGTTACCTATGTTATTTTTATTCTTGGTCAACCCATTTTGAAGGATTAGCTATAAGAAAAATAATTCCCAGTAACAAAAATGAGTGTGTTCCCCAATATAGCACAGTTTCTTTGTGGAAAGCCCAACAGTCAAGAAATGCTAGTTAGTACTTTAGGAATTCATATGCAGGTTTGAGCTCCACATCTGCGCTCTAACCGTGGGGCTGCTAAGGGCAGTTAGGAGGGGAAAGATATGCCTGACTGTGGTAACAGGCTGGTTCAGCATCTGGGAGCTCATGGAGGCCAGAGATCTGGCTCGTTCAACTCTTTTCGCCTTCTTACTGGCCTAGAACCTGGCATACAATAAATATTCAATGAACACTTGATGAACAAATGGATGAATGGCTGGCTACTTAGCTCACACTTAGGTTCGGCATAAGCCATACTGCAAATCCACTTTTTCTCAAGATCAAATATAAACTGTATAATCGCTGAAGGCAAAATGCTGAAGCCTAAAAAGCTTTAACTCGGTGGCAAATATCTTTTCAAGACTTGAAGATTCACAGACTAGTTAAGCCATGTTGCAGAGGGAGCAGGCAAGACACCGGGTCTCTGGCTCTGTACGTTGGAGCTGCTTATCCCTCCCTCCCTGTTCTAAGCTTTGGGGTAATTTGTTTCTTCGTTGCACCTCAGGTGCAGAGAGTTGAGGCACTATACCACTCAGTTCATGTCTTACTGTCTTCATATCTGTGGGCAAGGCCCATCTTGTTATCTATTTATTTCCTTTTATCACCATTTACCACTCCTGTTCTCTCCTCTGTCAATAACCACTCTAACATGTTTGACGTTCTGTTTTACTTGTATTCTTATAAAATGTGTATTGTTTCATATGCATGTCTTCTAATTTTATAAATGATATAGTATTTCTCATTCTGCTTACTTTTTTTAAAACTACACATTATGTTTTTAAGATCAATTCACATGTACATTCAATCTTTCAGTTTTCTCCTCTGTAAAAATGGGGCAATCATAGTATCCACTTTATAGTTACTGTGAGGAATTAAATAAGCACAAGCAAAATGCTTAGCACAGTGACTGGCATATGGTGAGTGCCCCATAATTACCCTGTTATTATTTTATCATTAGAAAGGCACATTCTGTCAAAAGCCAAAGGCCAGTTCCTAGATGATGACTTTAAGACATTGGTCATAATCATCTTATTTTAGATTAACACATCATTAAAGTCAATTTCCTCTCTTCTCCATGCTCATATCCCTGAAAAGGTCTATGATAAATCTGTAATCCTTTTACAGTAGAAAAATTTTCTCTTGGTGAAAAGCCCAAAGAGATTCCAAAATGGGCAATGTAAGCTTTTTACTTATTTTCAGTAAAGGCCAAATACAACTCAATCACGAAGTCATGAATCAACACGCCAGAGCGGTACCACATGGGGTCTCGAGTGTATAAATAGGAGTGTGTTGCTCGTGGGCCAGTGAGGTGTTCTCTATACTCATCTCTGGTTTGGCCTTCATCACAGACCTCTGATGGGGGAATGGGCTTTCTGGTTGGGCTGGGCTGGGGGACACATCCCAAAGAAGAGTCCTGTTGAGTCACAGTTGGCCCTGAGCAAATGCAAAGAACTCAGCTCCATTTAGCCAGCATCAGAGGACACTGAGAGGGTGAGGAGGGATTTGACAACTGGTTTTGTTCCCAGAGGCCAGTCAGGGGTGCGATGGAAAGCAGCTGTTTTTCTTCTGCTGAGAACGAGAGCAGAAGGAGCAAACTTCAAGTTAAGTCGGCAGAAGGGACTTAGCACAGATATCAGGAAGAACTTCCTAGCAGCGATGAGCGGGTTTATGACCCCTATTATTACTGATAAGAACATTCGTCGAACACGACACATTTTTATAAGTACTTACACAGGTTACTAGGGGAGGGTTTGTAACTGTCACTTGCAAGGCTTCAAGGTGAAACTGCAACTTGGAAGAAGTCTTAAAAAGTGTCTGTCCCTTTTACTTGTTTATTTAACTTTTGGGACTTTTACCTTAAGGAAATAAGATGAAAACACAGTATACAAAACAGTATGAAATGTATACATTTGAATAATCCTATACACATACATAGGGGAAAAAAAACTCCAGAAATCAAAAGATTAAAAGCAGTGAATAGTGGAACTACATGTGATTTTCAATGCCTTCCTTATATATTCTTGTATTTCACATTTTTCTAAGCTAGCTTGACATTTTTAATAATCAATAAAATTAATAATGAATGAATGAATGAATGAATACGACTCAGATAAGCACAGTTCTTTCAGATCGGTTTAGGTGGTTCATCAGGAAATGTAGGGATTGGCTCAGAACCCCATAAAGTCTCTGGCTTTATGATTCTTACTTGATGCCAATATCCTTTGAAGAGGCCATGAGGACAGGATGCCATGCCACAAATAGCCACACTGTGCGCACCTAGAATCACGAAGGTGATCTCCTGTAGAGCCAGGGCCTTATCAGTGGGCAGAACACCAGAGACTCACTTTGTGCCAGCCTGCAAGGCAGCACATACTGAAGCACACTGGGTCCTGGGCTCGGTGTGGAATGGTTCTACCTTGCCAAGCAGGTGAATTCTGTACCTGGAATCAGGGTCACAGAGCTCCTCTGTCCCTTCTGTGCCTGAGGTTGTTGTTTTCCTTTCTGGCTCATCTCACCACCTGCCTGGAAACATTTTCTGGGAAGTCATTGGTGGCTGCCAACCAGGGCGTGGGGAGTTGTTAAAGAATTCTGCCTTCTGATTGGTGAGGAAACCCCGAGGGGGGGAAATGGAGTAGCCCCTGGGGTGGGCTCTATCCTTCCCTAATTACCTTGCTTCTCCCGCTGGGGCCCTGACACCTGCCCTTTGGTAGTAGTGCCTGCTGCCAGTACATGTCTAATTTTGTCCCTAATCATGCAATGTCTTGCGGGGGCTGGCCTGGGCAGGCACCTGGCCCAGGAATGGCCCTGGAGAGCTGTGAGCTGAGGGGAAATCACACTGTGAACAGTGTGTTAGCCTTTAAAAATAATGTAGGCCATTGATGTGGGTTTACAGTGATGACGAGAGTAGCTTTGAAAGGAACTGTGGTCACAAAAGGGCAGCCCAAACTGTGTCTGAAGGGGAAATGGCATTTTCCCTCGTTGCTGTGGACTGATGGTGGGTGACAGAGCCTTCGGTCCTTTTAGTCCTCCCAGCTTAATGTGGCTCAGCGGGAGACGGTCCCAAGACTCTGGACTGCCGGGTGTCGGAGGGCCTTCTGGGCTGTTCTAGAGGAGCCCAGCACGGTCTGGCTACACTTGCCTTTCCACGCCTGGAGATATTCTGAGATGGGCTGGGACTGAGGAGGGGCTGCTGGTGGGCATGGGGAGGGTACTGCCTTGGGAGCTCTCTGCTTCCAGAAAAATGTGCTTGACTTCCATTCTTCATCCCTAAAAAATGTAACCTCCTTCTCATAGTCTTTACAAGTGGCACTTATCCTATGTCATTGGAGCCCAAGAAAGCAGGCTATTAATACTGGCCTTCCCAAGGCAGGCAGGCAGGCTAGAAATAATCCTGTTTTGTGTGGATGCCTGTCTAGGGGAAAGAGCTACAAAGTGAATAATAAATATTTGATCTTGAGCATTTCCAATATCTGAAAGATGACAACTTTAATAAAACTCTCCAATGATTTTGCAATGAGAACAAATCCACTGCATTTCCAAAACAGTAATTTACCCAAAAAGCTTTGAGACATTGACCATGCAATTACAAAGTATGAATATAGCAAGAACCATTTTAACGAGCATGCCTGAATTTTTAAGGCAATATTCTTAAGGTAATATAATATGTGCTTAAAAGAAGAGATTTCAGAGTTGGATTTTAGCTCTGCCACTTAATTATATGACCTTGGGCAAGTTACTTCAGCTCTCTGTCTCTTAACTTCCTTGATACAATGAAGATAATACTTTCTTCACAGTGTTGTTGTGATGACTAAGTTGGGGTAAGAGGGACATTCCAGGGGCTCAATAAATGTCACCTTTTGTCATCTTCAGAGTCATCTTGGAAAGAGCACACTAATTCTAATGATGCTAATGTTCATTTAAACCACTGGAGCATCTGGAACATCTTTTAAATGGTGTCACAATAAGCCTGTCATGGTCTCGGTCAATTATGATGGTAGAGTGAAGCAACTCCCTGCAGAGGGAAAAGCCGAAAATGGATGGAAGTAGATATTAGCTCTATCTTTATCTAAGGCTTTGTGGTAACTTGAAATATTGACAACCAAGGGAGGCTGAGCCTCTTCTGGAAAACGTGCGGACTATCCACTGAAGACAGGAATCTATTAAACAGCTGCTCGGCTTGCCATGGTCTTGTGGCTTTCACTGAACTGGGGCGGGGGGCGGGGGTGGGTCCAGTCAGGATGGGCTCACCTGGCCCTCAGCCCTCACAGGGTTTATTCAAGGAGCTTCTAAATGACCTAGACTAGCCCAGAAAACCCCCAATGCCAAGAATCCCAGGAGTAAGCATTAGACTTCCCATAAATTATGACACAATTATTTTTCTAACATGAAGTGGATGACAACATGATGTGGTGGAAAAAAAGCCTAAGTGTGGGCGTCCCAAGGTCCAAGGCCACTGAACAGAGCCGTCCGCTGAGCACCACAGAGGTGCCCAGCTGGCAGGAGAGGGGCTGAACTCCAGCCCGCATGCCTGGAGCTACAATGTTCCTCTCACTTGTCTGCCCCTTCCCTAGTACAGCCTGGCAGAGACCTGGGTTCTCATCCACCTCTGCATCCTGGGA